TACCGAATTTTTATTGGATCCTTTTTCTTTTTTCACGTTCGATGAATGAAAAGGCAGAAAGATAGTGCACAAATCGAAACCGGAAACGAATGTTTCGCTTACCATGAACATCGTTCATTCTATTTCGTTTCGTGCAGGTCGACCTCAGCCAAGAGTGACGTGGTGGCAAGAGAACGCTCTCCTCGACGACACTTACGAAACTATTGAAACGAAGAAGGTGCGAAATGTGCTGCGATTGGAAAAGTTGGGTCGCGAGCATCTGAACACGGTTTTAACTTGTCAAGCTTCGAATAACAACATGGTCGCTCCGATATCCAGTTCTGTTACCCTCGATATGAATCGTAAGTATAATAATATAAATTTAAATTAATCAATTTACTCATTTTTATTTTAATTTTTCTATCATATAACTGTTAAAGAGCTGTATTTTAAAATTTGAAAAATTTCATAGAAAATCGATTAATTGAGAATATATAATGATAAAACGATGAATATTTCTTCATTTAAAAATATAATGTAAAAATTTTATATTTAGAAATATAAGATTTATCGCGTTCTATAATTATTACTTCGTACTATTAAAAATATATCGATACAAGAATAAATTATTAATCTGAAAAAATTAAATCTGAATAAATAATGTAATATTTCTCACAAAATTTATCTATTTCACCATTTATCAAATCATCTACCAAAGAGAAAAGGAACGCGTATTTAAACAGTTCTTGATAAATCCAAAGATCAATCAAACCTTATCTATCAGTGCTTAACAAATAATTGAACGTTAGTTGCTAAAACCTTGTTTAACGTTCGAAAGTTTCGCGAAGTACTTTCCATTAACCAGCTCGAATCAGGAGTTAGTCGAAACGATTACTCAAACACTTCTATCGTTCTACAAATGTTATGGAATCCTATCTGGAAAGGATAGATCATTCGTACTCGAAGGCTAATGGATAGTACCCGTGTTTTAGTGAAACCATTGTGGGTCCGTATGCAAGAGAAGAACCGTCCACTTAGCGCTGGCACCATATACGAGATCATTTGTGAAGTGGTTGGGGCCAGGCCGACGCCGAAAATCACGTGGTCCAAGGGTAGCATAATGCTGAGGAACGCCAGACAAACGGTAAGGTTGAACTACTGTTGATAATGATACGCTAGCACTACTGATTTTGACAATTGGATTTTATTAATACATAATTAGAGGATTCTTTTCTTAATCCTTTTATTTTAAAAAAAAATAGCTATTATTAATTAATTATAGTATTAATATATAATTAAAGAAAGAATTAATGCTTTCTAATTCATTCCCAGATGATTTCCAGAAAGAAATGAATATTTATAGTTTTTTCTTTAGTTTAATTATACTCTCTAGAAAAAGGAACCTCAACTTTAATAATCTTGACTTTGAAATATATTATATAGAAAGGAATCCTGAGTAATTAATGCATTTTTCTAAAACAATGGAACAAAAAAACGTGATTTTAAAAAATTTCCATTACGTTTCATCGTTAAAAAGAAATATTTCACTTTTCACATAAAACAAATTCGAAGTTATTTAGAGATTTAATTGCGACATAAAGAAAAAAAGAAATCCTTTCATACTTTTTCCTCTTCCTCTTCGAGAGAATCCATGGCCAATATTTTGGAAAGCAATAAGTCTCTAACTTTTCGCACTATCTGCCCGTTGATTTTCAGAGAGAGCTTCGATTCTTTAAATCAGCCCTAGGCATTTATTTTTTCTGGCGCGTGTATATGATAGGCGGGACCAGTTCGATAAACTGTTTTAAATTCATGAAAGGGTGTCCCGCAGATAAGCCCCGACAACAACGTCACCACCAGCGTCCTCACGTTCGTGCCGAGTATAGAGGATGCGGGCAAGTTCCTCTCCTGCCACGGGAGCGTGCAGAATATCCCAGATTCCGAGATGAAGGACGAGTGGAAGCTC